GGCTTCAATATAAAATTTATAAATACATTGGAATTTTGGGTGCAGAAATATACGATATTCTGTTTAACTTTATTGCGGACAGATGATGAGTATGGCATCATTGGACGTGAGTAGACCTCTATGCCTGTTCCATTCTCTTGCTCTCGTTCATGCACACTATATTTTTATGACCTGGATAGCATTTATGTAGCAGAGAACTTCATGGTGGGTTATCGCCTGGTTTTCGACAGGGAAAATCTGAAGTTTGGTTGGTCCAATGCCAATTGTAAGTACCTAAAATTTACTGCTCATGCTGACTTGAAGTTTTAGTTCTTCAGCTATACACTTTGCTTCTCATCGACTTGAACTGGTTTTGTGAACATGTAAAATCTTTATTTTTTTTTCTTCATTCAACATGCAGAATCTGCGGACTTGTGTGAAGAATGGCTCTTTAGATATGATTATACAGTCAAAAACTTAAAAGTAGAAAATTGTCAGAATTATGTGGATGATCCTATATTGTTAGCTAGCTTATTGCATATGTCACTCTGTCTAAACTGGTTAGGAGAAATTGATGTAGAGACCTCCGGCCTGACTTTTAAGTGCAAATTTGGGCAGGTTTTTCCCTCCCTTTCTGTTCAAAATTTATCGACCTGCAAGCAGGACTTTGGTCCAAAAAGTGGGGCAATACCCTGCCTCCAATTCACAATAAGTAAAATAACAGTCGGATTCTATTGACCTTTTTGTTACCTAATTTTGTGCAACAAATTCATTATAGTTATGTTAACTTGATTTCTATGTATACTGATTTCTCATTTTAATTAAATTTTTACATTCGATTTTTGTTTGAAACAAAACCTTCGGATTGGGCTTTTCATGTTTGGATCAGTGGATCACGTTATTTTAAATACTACATCGCTTGGATTACAGATAAATTTCTACTTAAGGTTCTTAATATCAGTGGCCTCCAAACCCCCTCTTCTATGCATGTGGTAACACTAGCGCTTTTATTCTGCAGGTGAAAATAATATTCACGATAAGAAAGTTAATCCCGCTCCATCGACTAATGGGTCAACAAGCCAACTCCCAGTCCCAACCAATGAGCAACAGAACATCTCCAACCCTCACACCATTGCACCGGCCATTGCCAGGAAGGCACCCTCCAAACCCTCTGCAGCAGCATCCAGGCAAATCCCTCTTCTGCTCTGCTTGACAAGTTCTTTACTATTGCTAATGTGTCTATTAAATCATTAATCGTACCTAGTTGAACCCTTCGCACGTGTAAATAAATTTCTTTATACTATTATCGAGCTCTCCAAAATTCGAATGGCTTTTACTATTCCTGTTGGTTTTTGTATCGATGAGCACTGGGAAGATCTCCTTTTGTTGGTGTATCTACTTTGAGTTGGTAGTTACCTTTGTTTCTGTAGTGTTGTGCATTTTTTATGTTGCTAATGGAACACGTAACGTTGTTTATTAGCTCCCTAGATTTGATTTATCTTAATTTTTGTCATAATATTGACAAGTATCCCAACTAAATTACGTATTCAGATAGGAACATTGACAGAGACATTATAGTTTTATTTTTTAATGTTGTATTATTAAATAAACACTCTGAAAGTCAAGAAAATCATGGTTCCAGGATCTGGTGACCGCTTAAATTATGAGGTAATTACACTAAATAGATTGAGCTGTGTCGGAATTTCAATCCCATGGTGGAATCTGGATTCCGATCTTGATACATTTATGGTTTGAGGATATGATTGTGATGGCTACGCGAGTTCTTTAAGAAAAAGATGATCAGATGGATGAGTTGTTCTTCTAGTCTCTTTCTTTGCTACTTGCTAGTCGATCATCACACACATAATTTAGCGATTGTGACACATTGATTATATAAATCTCTCATTCTGAACACGATACTTTTATTAGGAGATCTCATAAACTGAGACTCAAATCAATTAACCGTGATGATTGGTAAATCTCGTATCATGAGGCACGTGACGTGTAATTAATGAGTAATTGTGACACATTCATAGATCTCATATTGAGAGGTTTGCTCCGATTTACGAATTTGCATTTGGATAGTTGAGGTTAAGATTTATATTTATTTATAGTTATACTATTATTTTTGTTACAAGATTTTTCATTTCTACCCAACCCGTTTTTGGCTAAGGCAAGTAGGTTGCCCCTCTTGCAAGAAGCCTACTCATATGTTTCTTCTAATCTTGTGGTCAAGTTATTTTTCTAAATATTGGCTACCAACTGCATCTAATGTCTTGTTCCCTTCACATATTTGTTTGTATAAATAAAAATACATTTTATTCTTTATGTTAATATGATTTAGGATTTGGAATATTCACTTTTGAGACACATTTTGACATCAATTTTTGTGGGACTCACTTTGTAATATATTTCAACGATTCACCTGTCTATTTTTTATGTCTTATCTCAAAAATCATGCCTATAAAAAATCACCAAAATATGAAACCTATTTGACCGTTGGATTAAGTTTAGTGTTTCTTTGTAGAACTGTATTCATCTATTTTATTTTACTACAAATGAATATTTTAATAGTTTTGAATTTGTCTAATTTTTTACAAGGATTATCTATGAATAATGTATTAAAATATAAATGATTTGAATTTTTGAATTACACTACAAGGTAAGCCCTACAAGACGTGTGTCAAAAACGTGTATTTCCGAAACCTATATATATATATTGTCAATGCCTCACCACTTTAATATTGGGCATCTTCCACAGTACCCAAAAACCATCCTCGAAATGAACTTTGCAGAAAGGGATAAGAAATAAACCCTAGACGACGGAGGTATATGTCATGACCCGTACGTGTGAAGCCATGCATGCATGCACCAATTATGAAGCCAACACTGAATAATGTGTGTTCCTTCGATATTTATATACCTACCAGAATAAAGGTGCCACCTGATGTTATAAAAGCTCATAATAATTGGTCGACAAAGTTTAATAATTGGTTGATAAAATTTGGTGACGAGGACACCAATTTATAGGGATATAGCACACAGTCCATTAGCTAGCTAGGCATGACGGTAAGGGACATAGTTATGGAGATTATATGAATATGGCACCATTGGACGCTTTCATTGGCAGGCCCCGATGTTTGCGGCTTCACACTTTCTTCCCTACTGATAAGTACTTATATGAGTTCACGGAGGAAGTGAATGGTTTTTCATTTGGACACGATTATAAGAAGATTAGACTCTTCTATAATCCTACCATTTTAAGGAGGATTTGAATGGATAATTTTATCATTTTTCTCTTTAAGTGGTCATAATTTTATTATTTTTCTCTTTAATATATATTTATTTTAATATTATATATTTCGGTCTCACTATTAGAAATAAGGCGTTGTCTTACGAATTTTGTTTAATGAATCGCTTTTGATCAGGTAAAAGGACTTTACTTGACGATTTTTTCAATTAGTAAGGCAAAATTGGTCAACATTTAGTATTTACTCAAAATCTTTAGAGCAAGTCCAACCCTTCTTCAATGGCCCGGCACCAAGTGAAGAAAATGGCCCGGCACTGAGTCCATCAGCTCCAGCCCGGAAAATAGGCTGGCACCCAGCCCGTGCTAGTCAAGAGGCCAGCCCAAAATGGACAGACCCAGAGGCCGGTCCGTTTCTTGGCGCGTGCACAACACGCGGTGGAGATGGCGAGTAGCCGACAGCGTCTGCAGGCAGTGGGGCCCGTAGTGCAGGGCAAGTGGACTGAGTCTGTGAAAGGGCTACGTGGCCCTCCTCAGAGTCGTTGGATTTCCAACGGCTAGTTTTTGTAGGCCGTTGGATTTCCAACGGTAAAAAAAATTTAAATTTAAATTTTAAATTGGACCGTCCGATCACAGATCAACGGTCCAGATTAATTACAACATTAAAATTTATTAAAAATTAATTAAAAAATGTCAAAATTTTTTTAAAAAATACAGAAAATTTAAAATTTTTTTTTTTCTATAAAAAATGTTGGGATTGGTTTAAAATCTTAGCGGAAATCTATTCAAAAAATAGTACGTTCGGATAATGACATGTGGCGTGACGAGATTGGTTAAAAATCCTATCCGAAATTAAAACTATTTTTTTTATTATTTTATAAAAAAATTATTTAATATTTTAAATGGACTGGGTGCCAGCGCATTTTTAGACTAGGTGCCAGCACATTTTTTTTGGGGTGGAGATGCTTTGGCCTATTACTGTTCATTGGGTCTATTACTGTTCAATTAAGTGGATAAATGGGCTGGGTGCTGGTGCAAAGTGGATAGGGGTGGAGTTGCTCTTATGACCAAAGGCAGTCGTAAGGTAAGGTCAAATTCAATGGGCAACTTTTTGGCGCCAAAAAGAAAAAATGAGGCATAATATCTGAAGGTTTGCTTGATGAAATTGAGATTCATTGGTTAGATTTACGTTGCCCAGCGGCCCAGCTCATGGGCACAAATGTCAGGTCGTCAGGAAAAGACCTACAATGATGTGTAAAAAAAATCCACCGACACGAACTTTGCTTGACGATTTCTTTGTGGTTGCCAGACGGAATGGTTTGTCAGTAGGGGTGGGTTCGGTTCAAAACGGTTCGGTTTTTTGCCAAAACCGAAACCAAACCGAAATTTCGGTTCGGTTCGGTTCGGTTCATTTTTTTTTCGGTTTTTTTTCGGTTCGGTTTTTTTCGGTTTCGGTTTTTTCCGGTTCGGTTTCGGTTTTTTTCGGTTTTTTATTTTTATTTTTAAATGATGTAAATGGAAGGAACCTACCTATCAACCTCCCAGTTCTCATATATCAGAGAATTGAGAGCCTCAAAATCCTGAATATATTCAAGTAATTCAACTACTTGTGATCAAGCAGAACGAATTCAAATTTTCAAAAGTTAAGCAAATACATAAACATATATTCTTCAAGGAAATGTACATCGTCAGGATTCAAAATTCAAAAACTTTAAAATTTACAAAATCATGAAATAACTCAACAAATTAACTGATCGATGCAAATCGAAAAAAAAAAAGCAATTGGGTTCTTCTAAATACCATAATCGGACTTCAATAGCGCGTGCCCAGTGCCCACATTCAAATTCATAGTCAAGTCCACAATAGATCTAGAAAATTCCAAAACATATTTAGAGAAAAATACAAACTTTTTCACCTTAAATTACATAAATTTCAAATGGGTAACCATACAATTAAAAACCTATGAACTGACAAATAAATAAAACCACAACCTTTGTTGCAGCGATATAGCCATGATCGTCGCAAGCTCTTTCAATTCCTCTTTTTGTCGGATCTAGAAAAGGGCGAGGGAAAATCATGGTTTGGAAGAAGGAATCCGCGAGGAGGACAGGAGAAGACTGGAGAGAGAGTGATTTGGAGGAAGAGAGGAAGGAGAGGGAGAGGGAGGGAGAGAGAGAGAGAGAGAAAGAGAGGAAGCAAAGGCAAAGAGGAAGCAGTGGACGGAACAGAGAGGTGTTTGAGATCTGAAATGAAATGGGAGTGAGACAGCTAGGGTTTGTAAAGTTAAGAAATTTTATAAAGCATTAAACATAAGAAACCTATAAATAAATTACTGGTACAATTATAACAACACAAAGCCTACAGTCAAGTTGGCTTGCAACAACCAACCCAACCCATAGGGAAAGGGTTCAAACCCCGACGGCAACATGTATTTTTTAGTATTTATATATGATTTTTTTTTTCGGTTCGGTTCAATTCGGTTCGGTTTGGTAGTTTCGGTTCGGTTTGGTTTTCGGTTCGGTTTGGTAGTTTCAGGCAAACCCTTATTTATCAAATTGGTATGTGCCTTCTTCTTTTTATTTGTTGAATAAAGTTTTATTGAATGTGTGATTAATTAATTTTAAATATTGTAGGTTTGTGATTGGATTGGAAAAAAAAAAAAATAATTAAAGGAAAGGCATGTATTTGTCTCTTAACTATAAATTAGTAAGTTTGAGTTTGTTAATTGTGGGTTATGTGAAATTTTGAGTTTGCATGTTACTGAAAAATATGTAGCATAGGCAATCATTAGTCTAGGAAATCATGGTGTGAAATTTGTTAAAATTGTGTTCGTTTATATAAAATTAATTATGTTCATTAACTTCATATTATAAATTCAAAAAAACTTAGACTCGTTTGAGAGTCTGCTGGATGCGTGTGTAGATGGAATATGCGGCTTCGCGATTTATCTGATTCTTGAATTGTCCATTTCCGACAGTTCGGAAGTGCACTAGTATGTGTTTAGTGTTTGCAGTAAACGTGGCTAAGTTTTGTTTGTCGAAAGTTCGGTTGTATCTCTTTAATGTTCTTCTAGTGCATACTATCCGAAACCTTTTCGGAGTACAGAGCAACCACATTGTTCACCTACCATTCAAGATGTCAGGTGTCTCCATGTCAAATTATCAAAGAGATGGGCCAAAGGCCGCTTCCAAAAATATCGATATTGTCCCTAACTTATTAACTACCATTTGCACAGTTCGACAGCGTAGGGTTTTATCAAAAGGCCTCAGAATTATTTGGAGTGGAGTTATGATATTTTAACTCTTTTTTTCTCAGAGATACGGTTTATGTGGGATATTTCAACACGCCCTTTCACATAGGACCCATTTAGTGGGTCCCACGTGAGAGATCTACACATCGACAACCACGTGGAGCTAAGGGGACTAATCCTACAAGCAGGGCCAAGAGACCCACCATCATCATGTGGGGCCAAGGGGACCCACCCATCAAATGGCAATACGGGTCTGCTACTTGGCTTTGATACCATGTCAAATTATCAGAGAGACGGGCCAAAGATCCACTTCTAACAACACCTGATTTGTTCAAAATTTTTGTTTTAAGACCATTTAGCTCACCTCTCATATTACTAGCTCAATCATAGTCTTGTCTTCGTAACTAGGACATACTCAAGTTTGTTGTAACAAACAATCTCTCAATGACCTTTCCAAATTTGCTACTAGCTGTAGAGGAGACATATTGAGACTCAAAAACCTTTAAATTATTTCTCCTCTTTTGTTCACATAACGCAATATCATGACTATTTGCTCTTTAGTTGAAACATCAAGTGATTCATCAACCAAAAGAGAAAAAAAAAATGCACCTTCAATATCTTTATTGATTGCATCAATTGTTTCTATGGCACAAGTATGGACAAGATCTTTTTGAATATCAGAAGAAATATACTTCAATTTTTTTAGAGCATTCTCAAACACAACCTTCCTAACGATCATTAGTTCCAGATAATTCCCCAATTTCTTTATTTCAACGATTCATCGTGGCCACGAAAGGAAGACCTTGTCGCAACAACCATCTAGTGCAATCAAGTGTGCCACTCAATAAAATGTGATAATTAAATGTGAGCTTCATTGGTTTTCTTGATCAAAAGGGCAAAATGTAGCATCGTTTGTTATACCATACTCCAATCACTCAGATAAATCAAACCAATAGGTGATAAAACATCGATTGTCCCTTCCTTATAACTTTTCTTTGCATTTTGTGGGTTTAGGTTGACAAGGACCCATTTGTAGATAATGTCTACGGATTGCTTTGTGATAATTAGGCTTATAATCAATCATTCGAGGTCTAAGTCTAGGTTCTACAAGAAGATTAGTCAATATTTCATCCAACTCAGTGACTTCACTTTGTTGTGAACTACTCAGAATATTTAAAGGAAGATTTTGGACTAACCTGGATTTGAAGGAGGATTACCCAGAATATTCGAAGGAGGATTTAAGCATTGTTTCATATAGTATCGTTCCATCACAGTAACTGTATATGAGAAAAAAGAGTCTTAGACTCTTAGTCCTACAATCTAATATGACTAATAACTAATTAAACAACAATTCAATTAATCAATAATCATATCAAATAATCAATGACCATATTAAACTATATCAATTAGACAAAATTTCATATTAAATTATCAATTAGGGATTTAAATTTGAATTTTTTTTAGAGATTTACCTCAAAATTGGCGATTCTTGGTGGTGGGACTGACAATTGACGACGACGTGGAGGGCGATGGCCTATGAAGAGGAATTCGGCGCATGGCTAAGAGGTGGTGCCCTATTGCTTGAAAGTTGGGCCAATACTGCCAGAAGCTTTTGCCTTCTTTTTGTCTCGAGTCTATATCCAACTCACTAATTGGTTGTATAATTGGGGACGAGTAGCTCCCTATTATGTTATATACATATTTTTTTATAAAGGAAATGATGCCGTTTCAAGTTTCAAGTTTCTCATTTTTTTTTCTCGAGTCTAACATGACGTTGCTTTGGCTTGGGTGTTAAAAAAAAAAAAAAAGAACAGCAACAGGGAAGATTGCAGGTTTTTCGTGCAGCTTCAAAGGAATTGGAAGGCGGATTATTGCTTTTAGGGTCGGTTTTCGACAACAGAAGGTGTAGCCGCACCTTCTTACGCCTCTATATAGCTTTGCCGATGGATGTAGTCAACCCAACTCTTTTTGATACCTAATTCTATGTAATTGTTGACCCTAAAACCTACTTAGCCTACATAGCGTCCAAGCTGAGTAACTAATGAGCTAACTACGTCATTCGGTTGAATATGGGGCTTGCCAACTCGTCGACCGAGTTCGACCGGGGAGTAAAATGAATGTTGATGTGGTGTTGGGTGCACTGCTGACTTCTTGATCTCACGACTACGGTCGAGGAAGGAACACGTCTTGGCCTTCGAGTTCGAGAGTATGAAGACAAGGCTGCTAGTTCTGCGAAGTTCAGTATCAAATTCGACTTTCAATGTGCCAAATGTAGTAACCTGGTAACACCTCACTTCGTCAAGAAAGCTGATGAGATGACCTCAAACAAGGACTCGGAAATCCTTGTTGACTGAGACTTAGATAAATAACCAGTCGGTCTCAAAGCAGTGCTGTTTATCCCAAACTGAAGGTGCTTATCGGTCGGTTGGTTCTACGGCTCCAGTGCTGTTTATCCAAACTGATGATGTTGCTAGTTGCCTCCACAATGTTGTTTATCCAAACTGAAGATGTGTTGGTATGGAAAAAGAAAATAAAATCTCAAGATGTTCGACAGGTTTGCGTAGGACAGTTGTGTGTTGAATTGGAGGGGCCTTGAATGATGCACCCCCCTCTCTATTTATAGTAGCGAGCGATTTCCAAATTCACTTGGACTGGAATTCCTCATCCCAATCCAACTTGGCCTTGACCAATCTAACCTCTATAGGACTCTGAACCAAGCTCTTTAATCATTCAAATTCATCCATTGAATTTTGGCATCTTTTCTGATTCAGAAGCTTTTAACCTCTAAAGAATCCCTCTTGCATTAGGATTCAACCATCTAACCTTTATCCAGGCGAAAATCATATTTTGATAGGACTTGGCCGAACTATACTAGGCTCGGCCCATGTTAAGATATTCTCGATACTCCTTATTGGATCGAGAACTCCAAGCTACGGCCCAAAATATCATTTTGGGCCCAAACAGTAGTATATTCATTCAACAGAAAAGAAATCTTAAGATATACCTCTATCATCGATCTACTTAATATATATTCATTCAACTTAAATAACTTCATATATCATGCACTATGTATACCTAATTAATTTGGCTTTTGATTACATAACCAAAATTGACTTCCATTGAAATAGGACGAGAAAATTCAACCATGCAATATTTTACTTTATCCATCCAAAAGGTTTTTCTTTTTCCCCTTATTTTCAAGGTAGCTAGATTTCTTAGAGCAAACCGACCAATTTAATTTAATCAGATATAAATCTAATCTAAAAAAATCCCAAACTGTTGGCGTGACTTAAGAGCAAACTCCTAATTAATTAAACTGTCAAGCCAATCCCTCCTCTCCTCCAAAGGGAACGGATTGATGGAGGAGCTTAATTAAACCTTAATTAGATTTAGTTTCATGGTGGTTTCAAAGGACAATGTTACAAAGATCCAATTTTTTAAAACCAAATTGGTAAATCAAATGATGTGGCTGTTGATAATTGAATTATTACTCAAGTATTGATTAACTTACTTATTTACTATTGGTGACACATCATTTGGTTTGCAAATTTGATTTACTGGATAATGCTAAGGAGACTTGATATTTAAACGAAATAATGTGTCACCAATAGAAAGTAAGCACATTAATTAACGTTTAAGTAATAATCTAATCATCATCTACCACATCATTTAATTTATAAATTTTGATCTTTCTAACATTATTTTAAAATTTTTAATTTCCCTTAAATTACTCTCTTTCAAATGCTCATAATCAGAGGACTCACAATCCTTGCTGCCACCTGCCAAAGCAGTCATGCACATTTGTAGCTTTAAATTTCATTTTTTTTATTCTTTATCTACTCTCTCTGTTTTTCAAACAGTCGCACCGCCCAATCACCAGTACACGTTCACAAGTGGACAGTTTGCTAGTGAACAAGTATATGAATGGTGCAACCACCAGCTCCATTTTGGAGGTGATTCGGCCACCTGGCTGATAGTCAGCCGTTGATATCTGTGTGGACCACCAAGATCTCTAACGTGGTAGCCGATGATGCCTTTGATTATTTGTTAACGTGGTAGCCGTGATGCCTTTGATTATTTTGTGGAATATTTTTGTTATGAAATCATACGTGTTACAGAGAGATTCAAAGTTCCGACAAAGCGTTACTCTCAAACTTTAAATGTGTTGTTTACCTTTTCTACTTTCGTGTACCCTAAGCATTGAAAACTTTCAACACCCAAAAACATCTGGGTTTAATTTGCTGGCGAAACTAGATGGCCAGGGCGGATCCATTCATGAATTCAGGTGGTCTGGGGATAACTAAGAAGTTCTGATATTTTTGTATGTTATATGTTAAATAATAAACTTAATTAAAATATAACCCAAATTCTCAATACAAGTATAGTTTTATTTAGGATAAGTTATATAAAACTATCTAAACTATTAGGTCATTAACAGTTTCATACCTCGTCTTTAAAAAGTTTCAATGTCATACCTCATTTACGAATTTTTTACAATTTCATACATTCCGTCAGTTTTCTGTCAATTCTTCAAATTAAAATATTAAAAAAATAATTAAATATTAAAAACTAAAAAATAAAATTATTTTCCTTCACCCCTTCTTCTTCTTCGGTTCGTCCCGTGTCCCCCCACACCCTCCCCAAGCTTCCTTCACCACCCCACCCTCAATCTCCACGCCTACAACCCACCCAAACAGTCCTTTAACTCCATCACCGCCGCCCTCTCTTCCTCATCCTTCAAATTCAACCCCACCATCGCCTTCCCTAACTCGCAGCTCGCCTACGCCAACACATTTGGGTCTCGATAAGGAGGAGGGGAGCGACTGGGATGAGTTTCCAAAGCGGAAATCGGTGGGGAGGGGAGGGCAAAGGAGCCAGGAATCGGACACCATTGAGGACGACGAAGCTAGGGATGGGGAAGAGGGGGAGAATCGATGCCGACGAGGGGGTTGATGCAGGAACATCGGAGAGGGGAGGTGGAGAGCCAGTGGCGCTTGAGAATAGGGGAGAAGGTGATAAAGGGGGTGGTGATGAGGAAGAAGTCGTCGGCGCCGAAGAAGGAGGAGGACTAAGGGGAAGGTGGGGGTGGGGTGGCCGAACCAGAGGTTGGAGATGGGGTCGAAGGCGAACGACTGGTTGAAGTTGGAGAAGGTATTGTGGAATCTGGGTTTGGGGAAGATGGGAGGGAGAAGAAAGGGTGAGGGGGATAAGGGGTGGGTTCACCTTTAAAAAAATTATTAATTTTATTTTATTTTTAGTTTTTAATATTTAATTTTTTTTATATTTTAGCAGAAGAATTGATAAAAAACTAACGGAATGTATGAAATTGTAAAAAATACATAGATGAGGTATGACATTGAAAGTTTTTAAAGACGATGTATGAAACTGTTAATGATAACTTACTTAAATCCGTCTAGGCCTCATCTTGAAGCTAGGCCTCATCTCGTTGCCCGAGTAGCACTTAGCATACCTTGATTGAGATTACTTGATGTTAGAATCCTGGATCCGCCATTGACAAGGTTTACTTAATTAATTCAAATATGCACCAATTTAGCCAAATTATACTCGAAGTACCTTTGTCCTTCATTGGTTATTTTAGGGGCTCACTGCGTTGTTATAGAAAATGACTTACATGAAATAAGTTCACTGTCAAATGACTTTCTATTCTAATAATGAATTGTTATGCATACGCTTCTTTCTACATAACCATGTATTATTACAACGGAATATCACAATAACTCTGAATCTAGTTCATGTTGATTAGTCTCATTTTCACGGCCACATAATTAATTCAAAAATGTTATTTTTACTATCTATTTGTATTATCTCTCTAATACAAATGAGACATACATACGTTAGTGGACTCTATCTCGATTAGAAAGATTGTAAAAATAATGATACAAATAGATATTAAGGGTAATACTACTCTAATAAATTCCAATTTAAGAAGAGATCGATTAATTATAACGATAGGAGCAAAAGTGCCTTACTAATATAGCATCTTTAAAAGGAATATTTTCTTTTGAGTTCTCATCCTCTTAAGAGAAAGGGAATCCACATGGATTGTATGAAGGTCAGTTTCCTATAGTTTCTAGAGCAGCTAGCTAGGCTTGCTTTTTAAATTATTTACTTGTTTTTTTTTATTAATTTCTCTTGGATATTAATTTCTATCATCTGTTCAACTCACTATAAAATCCAAAGAATAGAAGCTAGCAAGAGCACAATACCAAGTACCGGTGTCCTCCTCTTTCCAGTCACCCGTTCACCTTTTCTATTGCCTCCATAGCTCTCCTCTTTCCTTTCATGCACTTATTGGAAAAGAATAAACTAGACACGATCTTGTGGTATATATATGTAGCACTCTTCTTTATCAACACCCATCTCTTGCATTTCTCTAGTAAGTTAGCTCCTGAGTCCTTACATCTTCAAGTCTTCATCGTTCATTTTTTAGAGGAGGATTTCGAACTCTGGATCTTTAGCTATATATAAATATTTTCATTAGTAGCTAGCTAATATACATATATAAGCTTGTCCAAGACCAACAATTAACCATTCTAGCGTTTTGAACAATAAGCTGAAAAAATGGGAATTCAAGGAACTTTGGAGTACTTATCAGATGTACTAAGCAGTGCCAAAAAAGGCAAGAAGAAGAAGCAAATGCAAACGGTGGCCATAAAAATCAGGATGGACTGTGAAGGTTGTGCCCGCAAGGTCAAGAGTGTCCTCTCCGGCGTAAAAGGTGGGATTAATAAATTCATATTTTTGACAATGTTTGCTTATTAGACTGGTAATCTGAAACTTTAGACGAAAATTAATATGATCAATGATCTTATATAAGTTCTAATATATATATCACTATGATTAATAGGCTATCCTAGCCGCGTTTTAGGGAGTGTGTTGAGTGCTGTCCATGTCAAAAGAGCATCTTTGCCATAGTGATTTAAATAATTTTGGGCATCTCTCCTTCCTATTCACAATTAGTTCTAGCGTGGAAACTCAACTTCCTCAGGTTTGGGTGTGAATTAATTCACTTTGATGATTGTTTGTAGGTGCTAAATCTGTGGACATCGACTTGAAGCAGCAGAAGGCAACTGTGATTGGATATAACGTTGAGGCAAAGAAAGTGTTGAAGGCTGCTCAGTCAACAAAGAAGAAGTGTGAGTTGTGGCCTTATGTTCCGTACAATCTGGTTGCTCATCCTTATATTTCTCAGGCATATGACAAGAAGGCACCTCCTAATATGGTCAGGAAAGTTGCCGACACTTCAAACATCACTGAGACTGCCATGGACGACCGCTACACAGTCATGTTCAGCGATGACAATCCTAATGCCTGCTCTATCATGTAGCTAGATTATTAATATATATAATCAATATATCTAAAATAATCATATTTATAAATAGTGGATTAATTAACGAAATAGTGTGGTATGTGGGGTTGATATACGTGGGTTTTGTTCAGGGAGTTCGATTATTCAAGCTGTTGATTTATCTCTTTGGCTAAAGCTGTCATATTTGCGTGGAGCCTTTTGTGATTCAAGAGTAATATTACTAGCTCGTGTCTTTTTTTCATCTCTAGCAATATTGTAGAGATATCGAAAAGTGATTATAATTTAAGACATAAGCCCACATGTTGCTGGACTGAATATGCAAAGAACCTGCCCCTTTCATCCTAAAACACAAAAAGACAAAAAAAAAAAAAAAAAAAAAAAAAAAGAGGATAGTGTTACAGAAAAATGGTTTTTCACATAAATATAAATTAAATTATTTAATGCTGTTCAAACGAGTGATTCAAATTTATAGTTTGATAATATAAAAGTGTCTAACAAAATAAATCACTTTTTAGTTATGTGCTATAGATTAATTAATTTATTTGGTCATAGAGATTGAGCATGCAAGACGTTTATGATTTCTTTAGACGAATGTTCATATGTGAATGGAGCTTTCAATGATAGTTACTAGAATAATGCTACATACATATATGAGAAATTTTTTATTATGATTGGAATACTGATGATATACCACGTGTTTTATATAAATAGTAAAAAATTGTATTTTTTAAGTTATTAACTTATTAATACATATATCTCATATTTTATATAATAAAATGTGATGTACCATAATCTCTCTACATTTATGATCTATGATCTATGCAAACGCGAATAATTTCTGAACTTTTGAATCTCAAAACAGTGTTTTATTTGTTTGTATTATGACATTTTGAAGTTTGAACCTTTCATTTTTTTGTGATAAGAACCTTTCTAACTAAAGAAAACAACATCATGTCATATTTGCATCCCCAGATTCTCTCGTGATTCTTTTGGTGATGATCTTGATGATTCGTGAATTATGTTTGTTCATCGTATATCATACGGTCAGTTTTTATCAAGTACCGTTTACGTTTATTTTTAAATAAAAATATTTAAAATAATTTTTGACCGCACAATTTACGATGAATAAACAAGATTCACGGATCTTTGGGATCCTCACAAAGAGGATTTGGCGAGGATCCGGACTCTATTTGCATCTCCAGATGAGCGTGCATATTAGGATGTAAAACACATATACATCTCTTGTAGTAGAGATCTTGTGTTAAAAAACTAATAATTTAAAAAATAAAACTTCAATTTACTTATATAATGACACGTGAAGTATCAACCGTGGTCTGAACACGATGAAAAATGTTGGTCAAACATTTCTTCGATGAATAATTTTAAGGAGAGTAAAATATGCATCATCTTGATCGAAAATTATAGATAATAACTACGTAAAATTTCAACTCCCTTGACACCTATTTTACAAATTCAAAAAGAAAACACAATTTGCATTTCCCAAAATATAAATAAAAATTAAATGTGATTTTTACATCTGATTAGGGAGTTAGTGAGACTAAATTCAAGAATAAATTTAATTATTCAAATAGACGAGTTAGTGTGGATCGAATTGAGATCCAAAGGTATTGGTTGGATGAATTAGTGTGGGTTGTTATGAGACAGCAACTCATATCTAATCTCAATTATTGTATGTTGGTATGTGGGGCTTTTCTAAAAGGCGCTCTTATTTGTACTGTGGCAAGGGATTTGAAATTTCCTATATAAATTTTTGGATAACGTTAAAGAGACTAAATTTATAGATTAAATTTCGTAAAGAGTAATACTAGAGAGATTAAATTTTTTAAACCAAATTGCTAACCAAATAATGTGTCACAAATAAGAAATAAGCACGTTAATCGATACTTAATTAATAATCCAATTATCTCCAACCACATCATTTAGTTTGCAAATTTAGTTCAAAAGATTTAGTCTCTCTAGCATCACTCTTTCGTAAATTAAATGACATAGAAGTTGATGAATGGAGCAATGCTAGGTTGACTAAATTTGTAGGGGTAATGTTAGAAAAACTAAATTTGTAGACAAAATTTTAGAAACTAAAGAATATGGAAGTTGATGATTAGTTTATTACTTAAGCATTAATAAACATGCTCATTCATATTGATGACACATTATTTAGTTTGTAAATTTTATCTCCAGAATTAGTTTTCCTAACATTACCCAATTTGTAGACAAAATTTCTAAACTAAATGATGTGTCACCTAAGAAATTAGTATGTTAATCAACACTTAAATAATAATCTAATCATCAACTTCCATGTCATTTAGTTTACAAAATTTAATCTCTCTAGCATTACCCTTAGATTATTATTTAAGTGTTGATTAACGTATTTTTTTTCTTATTGGTTACATATAATTTATTTTATAAATTTAGTCTACTTAGCATTACTCTAAATTCTTAATTCATATTTGGAGTTAATATTAATTAATAATTAAGTTTACGTGGTGTTGCAAGAAACAAATTATCGCTACTAATTTATCCAGGAAGATCTAAGAAAGTTTGGTAATTTGCGTATTTTAATTAGAAAGATATTATGAATAACTCATTAATATTAAGCGCGGTCAACTACTGTATGAATTTATGGGAACGTAACTTTGAAAAAAGTAGAATAACTCATGATAGCTATTCTGCTTTTAGGGTGTGTTTGTTACACCAGATTATCTCGGACTGGACTAGTTTTAGGGACTAAGTTGGATTGGCTTAGACTAGACTAAACTGGACTGACTTAGTGAAGCGTTTGATTCAGTGTCGGACTAAACAACATGTTAACAACAAATTCTAATATTATATTTTTTTCATTCATATTTTATTAATATTTTATATTATTTAATACAAATTTAGTAATATTTTATTACTTCCATTGTCTATTTCTTTTTTTCATTCTGGAAACCTCCCATCTCCCATCCTAATTTTTTTTTACCTCTTATCTTCCTTTTTCTTCCTAATTTTGCTCCGACCCTCTCCCTCTCTTCATCTTTTTCTTTTCCTTTCCACTATCTCCTCCCTCAAAACAGCGTCATTCATCATCCCCCTTTTGTTCTCTCTTTTTTTCCTTTTCCTTTTCTTTGATGTTGTGATTCCTCTCAATTATTTATGGCACCATAGATTCTGATTTCCTAACTTCATTTCCCATGGAAAATTGAAATTGTGTAGAGACTCCTCTCTGCAGCGCCATGGATTTCACAACTACTATGTTTCTCGCCCATCGTTTGATTTTCTCAGAAAATCTCTTAATTTTTTGGGAAAAATGAAGAATTTTTCTATTGAGTTTGTTGTTATCGAATTGATTTTTTTTTTCTTTTCAAATTTTGGTGGTTGGATGTTGAGAATTAGGCGGTGGGTGTGGTAGGTTTCAGATCTGGGTATAGGTGGCCAGAGTTGCAAAGAAGCAGACGACTTGCAGCGTGCAGACTTCGTATGCAGAAGGCTTTTAGGTTTGGTGGTGTGATTTCGGAGTGAGGACATAAAGCTAGCAATGCAAGCAGTAGCAGAGAGAGGTCTTAGCAGTCCCATGGTTATTGGGGGGGGGGGGTCTCACTAAGACCTCTTAGCGAAGGGTTTTGTCCATGCAAGTCCCCTTTAGTCTCATTAATGTGAATCCTAGCATGAAACAAACAGGGTATTGGACTAACAGCTAGTCCAATCTAGTCTAGTCCCACTTAGTAAGGGTAAACAAACGCCCCCTTAGTCTCTGTTTAAGTATAGGATTAAGACCATGTTGTTAAGAAATGAACCACAAAATTTTAGATAACGAGGAATAGATTCGAGAGAGATTTGCTTATCACTATTTAAAAGATGTTATTTGTAAATTTCTCTTGCTCGCCTTATAATTTAGCATCAATCTATTGGGACTTTTCTTTTTTCTTTTTGCCCAATCTTGGGACTTGAAAATCTCTTACTCGAATTGCAAATGTAAGGATAGTATAATAGCATAAGTAAGGGTGTCAAACCACAGAGACTGTTTAGACCTCTACAAATTACTAGCTTTATGTGAACCCTAACTAAACAATGAAAATGCAATTTGAATTTAGATTTTTCAATTGAAAACTAAAATAACTTAAAAATGCAAGAAAGATAAAGATAACTGATAGGTTGATTCATAAATAATGGGAATGGAACTAGGGATACCGATTTCACCATTACAAGCCAATTCCATGAAAATTAAGTCAAAATGCATTCATCTCTCCAATCTTCAACTAGGGTTTGTTTTACTCATTTATGATCATCCATTTGATGTGTGGTTGTGATCAAGTACTGCTAATTTGCAACCTAGTTGTGATGTTCAACTTAGATTACCAAATAAGAATCCACTAAGAACAAGAGACTTCAAAGAACCAAAGAAATCACATGGTAGGATGTATGCAAAGCAGTTTCTTCATTCGTTTACATGTCCACCATGATTAAGCATGATGTGTATAACCTTGGTCAAATAATCTGTAAGAAACCCTAATGGTGATCAAATGTTAAGATAAACAAACAAATTAAACTATAAAATAAGTGAATGAAACAAGAAAACAAATTGATGAATCGACTACTTTAACTTAATAACATAGAATAGTTTACAAGGCTACATCGAATTCTCTTGCTATAAACTTAATACATATCATGATCACAAAAAAATATAAATAAAAAGCGTAACATGAGTGAAATTAAATTCATAGAAGAAATCCCTTGAAGCAATTCTAATGTGGAAATCTTTCAAGAATAGCACGACTGCGTGGTTTCTTCGGTGGCAGCGGCTGGTGAAGGGAAATAGAGTTTAGTTTATGGAAGAAAAGCCAAAGAAAGAGAAGAGAGAGAGCTCTGGGAGTCCCCCAAGGGGGGCTTGTGTAAAAGTGATCTGAAACTCTAGTATTTATATGCTAAATGGGGTTGCATCTAATTGCAAGGTGATCCCAACCATTAAGCCAAGGTTTTTAACGTTTTTCCTTATTTGGCTCCTCCAATTCATACTAGATATTCTAATTCCTTTCCCATTCTGCTTTTGATCTTCTAACCAGCCAGATTTGATTTGAATTCTTTATTTGGGCTTCAAAACAGGCCACTAAACTTCTTTCTACATTTGAATAAGGGTCAACCCCAAAAATGACATGTTTTCAGTTCTTTTGACTTCAAGTTGATCCTAAAATACATGTTACTACACATTGATACAAAATAGGATTAAATGCAATCGGTTTTACT